AAATATATACTTTTCCGTTTCATGTTTCATGACAGTCATATTTATCCCTTAATCTTAAACTGAAGCATCGGATATTTTATTCCCGTCAAATCATGTAGATACACGCAATATGAATGGAATATATAACACTTCATTTGTGCTAATCATACTCAGAATTCATGCTGTATCGGTAACGTCGGGTATTGACACTAAAATGGTAACAGGGCTACGTAGCCCTACGAACGTGGGACAGAAAAAAGCATTGGATGATAGGTCTATTCTATACCTAGTCGGTGGTTTTACTGCCTATTGTATGAATCTTAATACGCACGAACAATTACCTTCTAGCAATTGATAAATGTTTACATATGCATTTACTTACACGTTATTTACTTACAAAAATTTTATTTATTGCGAGTAATTAAATAATGAACGTATATTAATATTCAGCTACGTGTCTCTCAAATTAAGTGAAATACAGAAGCAACTGGTCAGATTAGTTTCGTAAATAAATCGAAACCCTGTATCGGCACACTGTTTTTTAGGCTATCAAATATCACACGGAGTCTTTTAGGAAGTAGTAAAATCTTTTATACAAATTCAATGAAATATTTTCAGGTACCCAGTTTAGGGTTATGAAATTAGAATGTTCAAGAAGAGGTAAAGAAGTTTTATATTTGCAATTATTTTGTGATACTGTAATAGAAATCGATATCCTGTGAAATGAATAATTAGTAACGGTCTTAGGGATTTATACTGGAGAGCTAAATCTTTAAAATGAACATGTCGCTTAAACAAATTAGTTGAAAATGATATTTATTTGGGGAATATGAATAGCATAAATGTTTATATACATTCATACATACTATAAATTACATACATGTAGTATATCGGTGAAGGTCTCTCGAGCTCGAGCGACCGCCACTCGGGAGTAGAGCTATGACTTTGTAAGATACCCGGGTATACAAAAATTACCCGAGTACCTATGCACGAGATATTCGAATATACATATGTATGAGACAGTTGAGAATTATGAAATTACGAAACGTATTGTTCATAACAACGGAACAGTGGGAACAGCTTCAAATCGGCTTTGAAACTTTAACATCAATTATTATTATATCCGTTAACAACAAATAAAATTTTGCCCATACGGTTAGAAAAAATATTCCTTTAGCTTTAAAATAAGGGCAAAATTCAAACTCGATGTTTAAAAATAATCACAATATTACGGTTGTAGTGATGTCGTATCGGCTGATTTCGTTTAATTTTTCAAAACATTGACATACCTATCTCGGAAATGGTTCAAGATTAGAAACTAAAGTTTTACAGAATTTAGTTTCTTGTGGTTATAAACAAATGCTGTAAATTCGAGAAAAATTGGTCATTAAGATCGCAGTTCTGTGCGTTTCAACGTGGAATGGCTCGTTAATACCCATTTTCAAGATGCTACAAATATATGCAATGTACATATATCATAGAATTATTAGTAATAAAATAAAATTAAAACTCTGAAGTGTTCCATACCGATTTCACCGAGCTTGTGCAGTTCGGGGTCGGAATTTGTGTTCGCATACAAAAAACTAATTACTTTTAATATGGTATTACGAACACGTATATCTATATGTATTGTTCCATAAAATTAAACAAACAATATATTTTTTAAATTACAATGACAAATATATTCACTATATACGAAAATCTCTTATTTGTTATTTTGCAATATTATTTTAAATAACCAAATATTTGGCAAATAAATCATTTAGAAATAATTTATTTCTGAAATAACATTTTGGAATTTATTTGCATACATCCTTATTTTCAAATAAACTTATCTGTTATTTTATTTGGAATAAATATTGGCTCTTTTTATTTGTAGTTTTCATTTCAAATCAAAAGTACCCAAACCTGCTTTATATGGAATGAGAAGACCTTTTTTTAATACGTTTAAAACGAACGGACAGAGGAGAATCCGTTTGCCACATGCAGCAGCGATCTCTTCGATTTATTATTATTATTTATCATTCACTTTTGAGAAAACAAGACTAACAATAAAAATTCATTCATCACCAGTTATAAACATCTGTGTATGACAGAATGATCACGTAGTCCGTTTCAAAATTGGCTGCAGACAAAAAAATGTTCCATAATGTAAATAATATTGATTTCTCCGCAACATCCATAATTATTACAAATGTCAATGTAACGAAATATCTTTTATGTAATGTTTGTGGTGTAATAAAAATCTGTGTTTCGATTACGTTTTTGATACATATTGCTCACTTATATGTAATAATATAGAATAAAAATATACTATTTGTCCGATATTTGAAAATATACAAGCGTTCGTTGGCACTGTTAAACTGTTGTAATAACAATGGAATAATAAAATAATTTTCTCAAATGGACATAATAATACATATACATATTCATAAAAACAATATCAAACACAATAACTTTTTTGTACACGACAAAAAACTAATAAGTCCATCGGGACTAGAACCCAAGACTCCTTTCTAATACGTCTACTTTACAGCGAACGGACGGAAGAGAATCCGTTCATGACCATGGTCCCTTAGATGATTTTCCGACGTACCGAACACTCATGATCTGACAACATTGCGTACTTGAGACTCGACAACACTGTAGAAGTTAGACTAGTTGAGCTCGAATGGATTTAACGTAGTTCACAAATTCACCGATCTCATAACGTAGAGGGCAGCAGAAAATCCTTGACATTTTACACTATCGGTATTTCAGAACATGAGACACGAAGTCCCATAAGATGATAGGTCTATCTTATACCTCGTCGGTGCCTACAGTAACGTAAGTACGGATCGCTTTATAGCTTGGTTCTTTTAAGCATTTTCTTCTTTGCGAATATTCTTGACAATAGACAATAACCTACAAGTCCCAACATATGGTCGATAGTCGGTTGCATCCTCGGAAATAGTTGAAATAACAAAAAACAAACAACACTTTTCAGTGCTCATTTTTAATTTACTCAAACGGGAATGATCTCTCTACGTTCACACTAATTATAACAGCACTTTTCAGTGCTCACGTTTCAATTCATATAGAAAGTATCTTTCCATATTCATAATAAACCAAATGGCACTTTTTAGTGCCACTTTCTTCAAAAAATTAACGAAAAATATTCATTCTCTATTTTGAATATTTAATTCCATGTTTTTCTATTCACAGCCTTCGAACCAGCCAGTAATCATTACTACAATTTCATGTATGCACATATTCAAATGTATGTGGGAACGGATGAAAATGAAGAAACAGCAGGTGACTATGTAGGTGATGTCTCAAGAATGTCAGATGACAACATTTGGGTAATCGTCGTATAAATAATATATATAGCCTACATATGTATTATTTTGTAAAAATTGTAAACATTATTGAAATCATATTGTAAATAAATATTTTCGAGAAATTTAAAAAACATTTAATTGCCAAAACCCGCTAGGTTATACCGTAAGACTGCTCTATTTATAACGTTAATCTGTAGCAATCTGTGGTGACATTATGCACACGGCCTGGTGGGTTTATGATATTAGCTTATATTGCAGACTGCTCTGTTCACGGCAGTTAATTTGCTATTACGTTCTACAGCAGAGTTACTGTGTTTATGCTGTGAATCTGACGTTACGTTCTAAAGCAGAGTTACTGGTCTCATGCCGTGAATCTGACGGCATATACATACAGAATGCAACGACAGATGTATATGATTCTGACGTTAGTTTGCTCATGGGGTTATGTCATATATGCAGAAATTATTCATACAATTAGATGTTATCCTTACAACCCTACTGATTATTACCCTAAATATTCGTACAAAAATCTATTAGATTTAACTGCAATAGTTTGAAAATTTCTTTATTGTCGGAAATTTCGACAGTAATGAATTTCTACAAGCTGTTTCAGTGGTAGGGTACTTTAAATTATATTAATTAATATAGTCTATGTATAAACATACTGTAGTGGGGTTCCGCCACATAAGCCTTCGTTGTTGAGAAAATTAAGAATACATTTTTTTGGTGGTGGGATGAAACATAATTTGAAATATTCAAGCCAAGGTCGGTGTGGTCGAGTCGGTAAAAACGAGTATCTTGCAATCCGGAAGTCGGCAGGTCTACTTCCGCCTACCCTGTTGAGCTTTTCTTCACATGAATTATTTTTTTTTAATTCTTACATGATTTATATTTATTACTGTTCCGTTGAAATTATTCTGAAGTAAAATAACATTTATAAAATTAATTATATTTCATTTACTTATGGGTAAAATATGTCGGACCCACATAATAGATATATAATAACTGCAATAATGAATAAATAATATATAAGTACTCGGCTACACCGGTCTTCCATGTTTGAAATTATGTCTCACCCTGCCCTCTAAAATATTTATTGTTAATTTTCTCAACAATGAAGACTTATGTGGCGGAACCCCACTAAAGTTTCTTTGTGCAGAGTCTATATTAATTAATATAATTTAATATCCCCTACCACTGAAACAGCTTTTAGAAATTCATTACTGTCGAAATTTCCAAACTATTGCAGTTAAATCTAAAAGATTTTTGTACGAATATTTAGGGTAGTGATGAATAGGGTTGTAAGGATAACATCTAATTGTAAAAATAATTTATGTTTATACTATATAACATGTATGAATATAATAAAAAATTTAAATATTGAAGTGGAACACATTTATTTTCTTCTTTTTAAATGCCTTACAAATGAATATTTTTCAAATTTCTATTTTACTGAGAAGTTACAAAGTGAAATTACAAAATAATTAAAAATAAAAAGTAAAACCGCCGTATTGGGGTCTGAACAGTGAGAGACGTTTGTGTAACTGTGGGAGACGTCGGTAGACATAGTGGGAGATAATGGTACGTCGGAGTGGGAGAGTGGTGGGGGTAAACAGTACCACGATTCTGGCATCATTGGGTTGCAGATGGCGTGCAGATGATGGGAAGTGATGGGAAGGTGCAGGTTGGGTGCAGGTTGGGTGCACTTCAGTCTGGTTGGTGGTGTTGGTGTTTGTTCGAAATGGTCGTGGTTCCATGCGATTAGCAGAATTTTGTAATTATTTGATAGTAAATAGATACAAATACAATGACTACGGTCATGCAAGAGAACAACGAATTAAAGAGGTTACTCGGTAATCCAGCAAAAAATGCTGGCGAGGAAGGCTCGATGGCACCACCACAAACGGTAATATATGACATATGTTAAGTTGATGAATTGTTAAGTGTACATTTTTTTACTTTATACTAATATTTATATTGCAGACGAATGTTCCGCGGCCGAGCACGTCCCAAAATATGAATCCTCAGACAATGATTAGTCCGATGATACCAGCTAATAGTACAAAAGAAGTTATAGAACCTTGTTTGCAGTAAGTGAGAAAATTATACTTAGTAAACACTATATTTTCCTTATGGAGATAAATAGTTACTGTATAATTATAGAACTGTGACATTCATTTTCAATATTGTATTATATAGATAATAGTTAAACTTATTTTCTGCTACAAGAAAAATTAACGATGACTATTGCAATCAAAAACTTCTTTCTTAGGAATGTAGTCTCCACTGTAAATTTAGGTATGGAATTATCACTCATGTACATTAATACAAGAACAAGAAACTCTGAATACAATCCAGCAAGATTTACGGGCTTGATCATGAGAATTCGTAATCCTAGGGCAACAGCATTAATTTTTAATTCTGGGAAATTAGTGTGCACTGGAGCAAGATGTGAAGAAGATTCCTATTTAGCAACAAGAAAATTTGCTCGAATAATTCAGAAACTAGGATTTGCAGTAAGATACATGCATTATATTATGATCATTGTACTCTAAGAATGAAAATTATAAATATGTTTTGTTGTTTCTTTATGTTACATTGTGTTTCGGTGGTTTTCCAATAGGTAAAATTTTATAATTTTAAAATACAAAATATAGTTGCCACTTGTGATCTGAAATTTCCAATTAAACTAGAAAACTTAAATCATATACATGGTCAGTTTTCTAGCTATGAACCTGAACTTTATCCTGGTCTTATATACAGAATGGTATCACCAAGAGTAGTGTTACTTATATTCGTAAATGGGAAAATTGTATTGACAGGTAATTTTTATGTGAAGTACATGCTTTGTGTTTTCTCACTATTGTAGCAAGACATTTATGTATGTTTTTAATGTTTCAGGAGCAAAGAATCGAGGTGAACTACAAGATGCATTGAATAATATATATCCAATACTAAAAAGTTTTAGGAAACAGTAACAGTATTATCAATTTTTAATACTTTTTTACGAATACACAAAAGTTTTATAAAAGCAGTTGAAGTTCTGTATGTGTTAGGTAGTCTGATCATTTATTTAAGTCATCTCATCAACATAATTTATTATTAAAATATCGTTATTTATTGGCAATCAGAGAGTGTGTATAAAAGTATCTTTTGTTTGTGGAAAACAAACAAATTGTAATTAATCTTGTGTAATATATCGAGTATAATAATTTCATATAAACATTGTACAAATTTTTTTTTATCTATTGTGGTCGCAACAACCAATGTATACAATGTAATATGATAATTCTCTTACATAATATACAAATGTTTTATGTGTATGAAAATAAATATGAGACATTGTTTTACAAAATATATATGTATATATTTCTGAACACTGTAAATAATAAAAACAGTAGTCGGTATTGTATCGCCAAATGAAATTAAAAGTACAATTAATAAATGCAGCGCATTTGTAAGAAATATATAGTTTCTTACCATTTAAGTACAAGATACATGTGTTAAGTAAAACGCGTTGCGCATTATTCATATTTGTTTCAGACTCAAATTTTTTATACTGTAAATTACTTAATGTCATCTCCGTAGTAATAATTATTTTGCAAAACAATAATAGCGTTTCTCCGATTAAGATGTTTGTAATTTCAATAATTAACCAACAATAGACTACATTGTTTTTAAAAACATAACATATTTATAAGATGTTCTTGACTAATACATTTACACACGGCTCACAGAATTCGCGTGTTTCTTATTCACTAATGCAAAGAAAAGTAGTACATGTCACAGCAACTATTGTCGCTGTCTTGCCGTACGGAAGAAAAACACATACAAACTGAACCGTATACATACATATGGGCTTTAAGTTATCACTTTGCATTCACGATGATGGTACATATTAAAATATTTGTATAATCTTAATTAGCATCTGGTCTTTGTAAATTGTTCTAATTACCTAATGGATTACACACATGATAGATCGCGATTAATATACCTTGAAATATTTCAATTTAATATTCTTGGTTTAGATACGCAAAATTTTCTCTCTTAGCAAGTAAGATATGCCGCATGTGTTAGTACACGACATTTATACCTTTTTTCGCTGCAATAGGTAACTTCTCGCCTCTGAAGAATGGATTTTCCTCCTGAAATGAATACTGTACTAGAACAAAATCGATTTCCAATCAAAGGAGAACCACACACATTGTTTCAATGATTTTTGCGGTTTTGTTGCTACAGCGCAAGTAGATTGGTATGTTTCGAATGACAAAAATCATTGACTCATTATGTATATACAATTGATTCGGTGCGTGTCTTACAGCTTGAATTTGATCAACGATTTGATCGAAGTTGGAACTTGGTATATGCATGCTTGGCAGACTGTTGGTATTCGTTGAATCGACAGGACAATACAACATATGCTCAGAATCGCATATGCAATCTTGCGCACTTTGATAGTCCCGACTGAATGCTGCTGTGTTCTCGAAATTTACGATGCAGTTATTTTCATCTGTACAAATCGGATTTATTTAAACATGTAGCAGTGAGCAAACGCAAAATAATTAGTTTACCAAGAAAATTCTTTTTGGTATTCTTGTGCTAGAATGTTCCCAAAATGTTTTAAAGCAAACGTTGCGTGTTAAATTTAAAAACAGAATAATTATTACAAAACAAGAGTAAGCAACCCAGATAGCACATGACGCCTTGAAGATGCCCATTTTACGGCTATTTTAGGTCTAAGGCGCCTTTAAGCCATTTTCAAGGGGTTACGAACTATCTGGGGAGTTGTGGTTCAATATTGTTCAGAACACAAAATGTACTTTAGAATACACAGGGCTGTGCGAATTATTAGACTCAATGTTGGTATTTCAATAATTTTACAGAAATATCAACAAATTATTGAGAAAATAATTGATAATGTATAATCTACATTCGAGATGTTTCATTGTGATACAGACTATGGAAATAATATGAAGGAAATATGAAGCTATAATCAGCAATGATCCTAAGGTAATACTTAACTATGTTTTTTCAAATTGTTTTCCAGTTATAGCACGTTTCCGTCGTTTCAGTTTATCACCTAATTAGAATTTTGTTAAATATTCATTGTGTTTTAATGTATTAAGTATCTGCCCCCTAATAACCAGTTTTGTATAAGTTTCGAGCAAATCGCCATCAATAAATGCCAAAAGTTGTCTAAAAAACCATAGCCATTTATTTCCGCATTTGACTTCGGTTTTGCAGGCAACGCCAGTTGACGAAATGGCAAAGCAAATTGGCAGAAAGTCTTGCAACATGACCTATATCAAATTGAGGACAAAACCGGAACAAGGTTTCCGCAAGCCAATTCGCTGCATATGTTGCTGCCAATTTGCTGCCTATGTTACTGCCAATGTGCGCGCAAGTTGTTTATAGCAAATTTTGCATCAAACTTGTAGCCATGACTGTATAACAGGCATTGGACAAAATTTAGCTCGGTTCAGCTGGCGTTGCCTGCAAAACCGAAGTCAAACGCGGAAACAGATAGCTATGGTTTTTTAGACAACTTTTGTCATTTATTGCTAGCAATTAGCTCAAAACTTGTACACAACTGATTATCAGGGGTTATTCTTACACGTAAAATAATGTTGAAAAGTGTTTTTAAAATTTTGTTCAACTACGATGCAGTAATGAAAAACATTACAGATTAATAACCATACTAAAATATCGTTGTTACAATGAAAAACATTACAGATTAATAACCATACTAAATATCTCCAAGTTTTTACAATTTAAATTTTGAATAAAAAGATTGGCACAAATTCTCGAAGGCCTTATTTTGCTGATCACCGAAATGTAGTCGACTTTTTCTTAGTGTTTTCTCTTACAAATAGTAAACTAACTCACATGATAAATTTACAGAAATCCAGTTCGATTTAAGAACACCTTTCTCTTGCTTATCAGGTTATACTGTTTACCCTTTTGTATTCTGCATAAATTAAAATAATGTAGGTGAAGAATTTTATTTTCTTTCGTTACAAATCCTACAATCGCCACACTCCAGAGTGTGACGAAACGTGGAAAAACGCGCAAAATAAAGAAATACGACTTTTTTTAAAACAAACTAGCGTTGTTTTTTATATTCCCAAAGATTGTTCTATTCCAAATATTCAGGGTCAAAGAATGTTTTAAAAAGAATATGTTTGAAAGTTTCAAATAGCATTGGAATTTTTATTGAAAACTTAATATAAAGAATCTGTACTGAAAAACGATAACACATTAATAATTTTCCATTGCTTTTTCATAAATATGTAATGAACCACAACTTCTAACTTTCTTTAGCGTTATAAAAATATGTTTACCTCTACATTTTTTATCTAACAATGGCACGCTTCTAAGCACTACTTCTGTAATTTTCAGGAAAATTGTTTATCGTAACATATACGGTGCATTGAAAATTAAAAATGTAGTGATATGTAAATGTAGAATAAGGATTAACATTTTCTGTCTAAGCTAATTTTGCATAAAATTAATTTTCATTTTGCGACGGTTTCATTTGTTGGCGACTCGTACCTCTACTTCTGATAAAGACATAATCTGTTCCAGAAATTTCCAAATTGAAAATGAAACAACAATTTTCCCTAAAATGACGACGCTTTGTATCATTGAAATTGTAAGAATTAGTAATCTCAAATATGGCGCGAAACACTGTAATAAACAAAAGTGAAATAGAAGGTGTGCTGTTGCGAACATCCGAGCAGAATCGGCAGAACCGTTAGAACGCTAACACAGTAAAAACGTGCGCAGTAGTATAGAAAAGAAAGTCTGTTAAAATTATATTATTCTTTATACAGCGTGAGCTTGTAAGGAGACTACCATTATATTAAATATAGTTATATATGTATTTTCGATAGTTCGTGTGAAGATTCATTTACCAGTAAAACTCTGCTAACAATTAAAAGTAAAAACCCAACAGAAATATTAAATATTAAATAGTTTCTTTTTAAAGAGATACGCTGTTCACAATAATTACAGAAACTTTGGAAATAGCTCCAATAATTCTTCTTCAAGTTGATGGAAAGGACAACAATCAACACTTTTGGCTTCACGAGTAATGAGTTTACAGAACATTTTGGTCTCAATGTCATCCTACAGTTTGATTATATTATTTATCGTATTCGTCTAATTCAGCTACACTAAATTAATTCTCCGGATACGAAAATTCTAAACGAAGACAGGGAAACGGCACACCAAAATCGTTTTGGCACTCACAAGGCTTCTACGACTACTTTCTTCACCATCTTGAAGAAGAATTACCAGAGCTATTTCCAGGGTTTCTATAACTATCATGAACAATATATCACTCTAAAGGAAACTAATTTCAATAATTGTCGTAAAAAGCGTGAGTGTCATACCAAAAAAGTTGCTGCTTTAACTTCAATTTGGAAACTTTTGGGAGAAACAGTAATATATAGTAAATCCTCGATGAGTGTTCGAAGGCGCCCCGGCACTAACAAGGAGAGGTCTCCAGGTGTAATGCTGACATTTTAATGAGGTGTAGCATATCAATAGAGCTTGGAATTCTGAAGCCAATGATATTTGTTTCAGTCGCATATAACCATTAGTTTATGAAATATTTAATATTCAGTGAAGAGGAGCCTTTAGACAATCATCGAGGATATACTGCATCAACTATCAAGGTTATTGGGGAAGTATAGTCGTGTAACACTTACTCGTATAGCCAACAGGACAAGGATTCGGTGGTGTACAGTATGCCGGTAAAGCGTTCTCAGTTTTTTCGTCCTTAAGATTCTTTATACTTCCAGGCTTGATTTTCTGCCTATTATACGGCTCTTTGTTACGTTGATGACTCCACAAGGAACTATGCCGTAAATATTCTTGATCTCGAATGCTAGGATTAGGATTCAACGTGTCCATGCCGTCGAATTCGGCCGGTAACTCGATGGGAATTTCTTTCGGTTTGTCCTGATACTCCATGTACGAGTCAGCGACGTCCACGAGATCGTCTCCCATTTGGTTAATCAGCTCACGAAGAAAATTATCGGTGAGCAGTTGTTCCTCCTAGGATCGAACGATCGATCAGGGGATTGTTTTTTGTTAGAAATACTCAGAATAGGAATTTAATCCTAAAACAGTAACATGGTGTTATTGGTGAACACTGCCAATATTTAATTCGACGTCGCACGTTTAATCAAGCGTGGAGAAGTGCGTAATTTACTATATTTTTTGGGTAATTAATGTTGATCCTGGATCACTATGCGACGCTAAGGAGGATTGGTGTTAAACAGACTTGGGCAAATTCTGTTTGAATTTAAAATAAAAAATAACTATTTGAAATAATTTATATCGGAACTTTATTTTCAATACTGTTATATGAAAATCGGTTCGTTTGGCAAAAGAAATAATACTGAATATCATATGCAATAATAAGATTTTATTTTAAGAAATCTTTACAGCAATTTGCATTAAGCAAAACCTGCTCTTTGAAAAGTTCATCCGTCAGAGATTTTTGCTTGGGAACATCTATTATTCTCGCGAAAGAAAATAATCATTCTACTGGTGTGGAAGATGGAAACGGGTATTACACTTCAGAAAAATGTTAATAATCAAACTCCGACCTAATTAAGTGATGTAATTTCGAAGAACAATTTTACAGTTATTTCTAAGAATTATTTCAAACGATTAGAAAATAAAATAACATGTTATTTGAAATAATCAAATGATCACAGGCATGGAAATAATTATGAAATGAAATAACATATTATTTGAAATAATATTTCAAATAATATCATTTCAAAAATGCCCAGGAATAATATACAGGGTAGTCTACGCAACTTACACACTTAAAATTACTTCTAAAGTATGCATTGTATGAAAACATTGTTCATATAAAAGTTGCATGGTTTAGAGCGACACATTATGCAGTATTAGTGCATATCATTTTTTTGTAGGTGGAGGCGTTTCGGAGATTTCAAGGTCAACGTCATTATTTCAAATGGAATGCTATGTTTTTATGCCAAAGTATCGAAGAATGTTGAATTCTCAGTAAAAACGTATTGACCTTTGTTAGCTCTAAATCAAATAATTAACGTCTTGAAAATGTACTGTGCATAATATCCAGTTGAAGATTCAATATCAGCAAAGATTGCCGTGAGACAACGCTGTTGACTTTTTTAGTTTATGTTGAGTGCCGTAAAAATGCAACAAGAGCTATAGCTATGTATGCCGAAATTTATCTTGATCGAAATCAGCCATGTTGATGGATATTTGAGGGATTTTGTAAATCGCTTTGAGAAACCGGATGTTTTAATGTTACCAAATGTAGTTACTAAACGGAAATCTTCGCTGATATTGAATCTCCTATTTGATATTACGCACAGTACCTTTTTAAGAAACGAAGTGAAAATATTCGTTAAGTATTAAATTTCATTTACAGACTTCAACACTCCTCGATATTTTAGCATACAAAATATAGCATTCCATTTAATACAACGAAATTGACCTTGAAATCTCCGAAACGCCTGCACCTACAAAAAAATTATATGCACTACATAATGTTTCCATTCACACCATGCAACTTTTCTATAGAAACTGTTTTTATACAATGCATACTTTAGAAGTTATTTTAAGGTGTGCAAGTTGCGTGGACCACCCTGTATACGGTTATGAAGATATTAAAATTTGTGTCACATACGACACCACGTTACGGTGTACAAAACACATGTGTGTAAAATGCAAGTGTGCATTATGCGCTGAAAAAAAATTAGCAATACAATCACAATCACATTGTATTAACTGTACTGAATAAATGTAATTTGTTGATATGAAAGTTCAAATTCATTATAATATTTTATTAAGCATCCATTATACAATTTGTATTAGGTTATTGGAAGTATAAGTACGTCCTTTTAAGTTACAAGTAAAAATAATGTATTTAAGTTCATGTACTATCTGTTATCTATGTTGTATTAAACAAATTCGCATTATAGAATCTCATACATTTGGGTATTTATCAAGAACTTCGTTTACAACCAGTTACTTAATTGGGTGTTACACACGACTCCACGTTACTGTTTACGCAGTAAAGTCAAAAAAGTTGTTACTGTTTACCTTCATCGTAGGTGGTAGATAGACTGTTGCTTGGACAGCAACAACCGTTGAGAGGAACAGGGTCCAGAACATGATTTTAAGAACGTGTATCTTAAACATTCATAGTGTACATTTTATATTATCCCTTTGTAATCGACGATTTTCGTAAATTCCAAGAATATTGTTCGTGTGAAACGAGGTTGACTATTGAAAATTTGAATGCCAGGAAAGGAACAGAACACTGCCCATGTTGAGCAAGTGAATCAGTTTCATGCAACAAGTAAATATACGTTATGATAAATTATACCTCTTACATAATTAATATTTCACACGTTACGTAATTACCAAATATTCTATATAATTCTATTGCGTAACGTTCATTGGATTTATTAGCACTAGAAAAATCCTAATTTCTTGGAACAAATAACAATGTTACGCAATATCAAAATAATTTGACAAAATGGTCTGAAAGTAAACGACTTTGAAAATGATAATGGCATTCATGTAAATTTTAGTCTCTGCATAATGTATCATTTATCGTTGACAATAAACTTAGGTTTCAACAATCTCGTGTATAGACAGTCGTCCGATTTAACTGTATACATCTATTATTTCTCTAACCGTTGAAAATACGTACAAATGTTTCATATGGAAGTTGTTTGATTTCATGGAATAAAAACTTAACAGAATATTTACATTTCTTTTTTAATTGTTATTTACAGAGATTTTAATAACAATGTAATTTTTTTGACTGCAACTGCATATTTGTATTATTGTTATGTTATTAAGCATTTCAAGACGAATTCGAGGATATATTTGAATATAGTATTGGTATTTCATTGTTTCTTGTAATCGATTTTGACAAATTCAAATAGAATTATAAAATATCCAATAAAAATCTGCAAATATAAATATCAAATATACGAAATATTCAGTCTATTTTGAAATACTTAATAATGTGACAATAATAAGAATATTTAGTTCCATTAAAAAAATCACATTATTATCAAAATCTCTGTAAATAATGATTAAAAAGAAAAATTCAATTATAATATCAAGTTTCTCCCATAAAATCAAACTTTTATATGAAACAGTTTTTTCGTGTTTTTAATAGCTAAATAAATAATAGCGTGGTGTACACATAAACTGGACATACTGTACATAGTTTCGTATGAACCCCGGAGCAGGATTTCCGAAAGTATCAATTTCTACAAAATCAGAGGACACGAAATGGACTCTTAGATATTTCGATGTCTTAGAATAGAACTTACCGAAGGCTGTCAAACGATAGGAAGAAGGAACGACAAAACGATCCTCGAGAAAATCCCGTTGTAACTCACAGACTTTGGGTACAGTCGCGCATATGCGTCTTTGTCGCCACTGGTAGCGGCGCTGTGTTCGTTCGGAATCGAGGATATTGATCCGCGTTTTCCGCGCCGCTTTTCCACTGTTTCGGTGCTTATCGTCATTGCCTACGATCTGCACGGCGAGCTACATTTGTGAAACCTAGTCTCGTGATGTCGTTTCTGTAATTAAGAGGTCTTCGCCCCTTTTTCAAATAAAAAATCGTTTTTTATTTGTTATTTCTTTGCACTTTCATCACGTTGCATTAAGTGTTAAAAATATTCTTACATGCAGTTCCGAAATTAATGGACCACCTTTCGATTTTAATGAAATTTGGTAAAATTGTCTTAAATACCAGTGGTGTTCCTAGCATTTGTGTCACCCCTTCTTCCTCAATATTATATAAAATGATTGGTAGTTAGAAAGCATGGATTTAAGAGTTCATGGGGGATATCATTTATTGTTACAACCCAAAACATTAAAAGCCATACATACATACATACATATACCAGGTACCTTAATGTTTATTTTGTGTCATATAAGTGATTTACAATTGAGCATTCACTTCAATGATATTAGGTATTAGATGTAGTAGGTAGAACATTTTCGTTCATAGAAAAATTTATTGAGTTGGTAAACTAAAACATAAAAAATTCTATGGAATGAAATGGATGTTTTCTTATGAGATCCTTATAGCAATTTAATATTTTGGTTCATTAATCATCACAAACTTCAATACAAAAACAGTAGGTGTAAATAAAAAACAACACTTAGAAAATATATATATAAAAAAAAAAAAAAGAATAGTATATAAGTAGCTTTACCAATTGTTTAATGAAAATCTATATTTTTCACAGATTAACTTTCTATTGATAGTATTGCTAAGTCAGACAATCTAGACTGTCTGATTGTTGACCTAAAGTAATAGTGAACGAGTAGTGAAGTGTGTTAGTTTTAGAGCACGAACAAACCGAAAAATTTCCGAAATTTGATGCCCAAAAAGTGGGGGAAACCTTTTGGAGACAGAATACCGGACTTGAGAGCTGTAACTGATTATTTTTCGAGCAGTGGGAGCTTTATTTGTGTCGGATGTCCATTGCAAGTTGAATAATTAAAATTTTTTCAGTTATAATCATTAAACATTGATTAGACGATCGGCTGTATGGATTTAGTGGAAATATAGAAAATTAATTTTTTATACATTTGTTACGAGCCAAGGGCTAAAGGCAGTGTTCGCTGTAGCCGAGGTTAGGTAGTGTGTTAGGAGCGGACGAACCGGTATTTATTTCATCATCGGGAACCGCACACATTGCTAGGAGAGTCGTGGACGAACCTTAGCTTATTTCATTACAAGGAGCAACTAGGTTTTTTGGTTAAAGTCGTGGACGAACCGATGTTTATTTCACCACCGGGGAGCCACTTTAAGGAGCAGACGAACCGATGCTTATTTCATCACCCGGAGCCGCTTTAGGTTAAAAGGAATAGGTTGGCTCGTAACATTGTAATTAAGCAGTGTACTTTGTAAAACAGCACACTTCGAGCTGTAAAAGTGTATTGTTGTGTGTTTTACTCGAGCTAGGAATTCGGATATGATGTAGAGCTTGCAAATGAATTGAATTGTAAGTTTCTGGAATAAGTAATACAAATATATTCTACATCAGTCGTAAGACTTTACAAATGTTTGAATTACAAGTGTCGTAATTCCCTCCCTGATGTTCATGCACCAAGAGAGAGCACAGGGTTACGTTAACACTAGGTTTACGAGCACTTATCGTGTAGGTATCTCCACGGCACGCATCAACGAACCCGCAGATTTTCTTTAAAAAACAACTTATTTTATATAATACACAATTTATGATCTCTGAAATTAATGCATAGCTATAGAGATAGGTATACCACATAGAGAATTTCGAGGTTAGAAAGCATTCGAAATGCGTCAAAATGACGCGTCCCGTAAACCTAGTGTTAAAGCAGTGATGGGAAACCGGGTCCGCTTGGGTATGCTGCCCGAATCGTCACTTGAGCGGCAATCGTGAATCTCGGAATACCGAATAGCATGGAGCGTGTGAGGCGGTTAACGTAGCGTTGTATACCGGGGAATGTCGAGCGGAGGAGTATCACGCAGGTTATCGATCGCGATCGTTGTTGAAGACCGACCAAAGAAGTAGAGGGTAACGGCACTCCCGCAGGTCGAGAGAAGGAGGGAAAGAAAAGCGAGATACCGTACTCCCGTAAGTAAGCCTTCTCGTCTTGTTCCCGTAGAGCAATCTACACTGGCCGTCAAAATTAAGGGACCACTAAAATTTGCCGAAAATATGGGTCATCTTCAAATGACTATATCTCCGCGAAAAATAGTTATAAAATATATTATATACGACCATTTTGTAGCCTGAAGTTTCTAGTTTTTGAATCGGGAATTCAAAAATTATTTTCATGTAGTTTGTTCCTTTTTTTTTAAAGATGAAGCGCAGCCAGCGAATGTTAAAAAATGTTGGTCAACTTTGAGAGGATGCGTGGGTCAAATAAAATTTTTTCTGGTAATTCCAATGAAATACTTTTAGAGAGCGACCTTTTCTCTTTAATTTCGTTTTTTTAATTTTGTCGTACAATTTGTATTGGCTGAGTTATTCGTTATCATATGAGAAAAGGCACTTTCCACTTTGAGCGCCTGTAACTTGCGAACGTATGATCGTATAGAAAATTCCAAAAGAATTTTGGAACGCTGAGATTTCTCTTTAAAGGCCTAAAGTTGCCAATTTGTTGAAATTTTTCTTCATCATATACAGTCCAGTACCATTTTTCACAAAACACGATGCCATTTCAACAAAAGTCGTGGAATCTTCCATGTGTCCACGTTTTTTTCAAGTTAAAAATACACGTAACCCCTGTGCCAAAGGCCGAACTGATCAGATTTTTTTTACCCTATGCTCTCGATAGTGAAACTTGCGATATGGTCTGAAAAATTGGTGAATGACTCTTTTGCGGTACGTTTGATTATCACAAATATACACGGTGAGTCAATAAGAACTACTATCTAAAATAACTCGTTAACTGATGGTTGTATCAGAAAATGTTTTAATGGATTATGTAGAATTAAGAGACGCATTAGATGGTTACAATATGATTTTTTAAATCTTATTTTTTTTGTTTAGACATCAAGGTGACCTTGTGTTTTTTCAGAATCAATGCATCTTTTTTTTTAATACTATCATGCTATAGGTCGTTCAATTCGTCCCTCTATTGGCAACAACGGGGTATTAAAAAAATATGCATTGACCTTGAAAAAACTGAAGATCGCCTTGATATTTCAAAAAGAATAAGATGTAAAACATCAAATTATATCCCATACGATACATCCTTTAAAATGATACATACTACATTAAAATGTTTCTCGATACACCAGTAAGTAACGAGTTATTTTAGATAGTAGTTCTTATTGACTCACCCTGTAGGTATACGAATATATACAAAATAATTTTAATTTTAATTACTATCCGATTCATTATCTTCATACGTTATTACTCTGAATATCTGTTACCCTAAATTTAATAATTTTGTGGCGACACTTCGTGGACTCGCCACAAGAAGGCTTCTGAGGCAGCACCTTTCCAACAGCGTCTCAAACCATTGCCGGTTTTCTATACAGGGTGTCGGATAGTATACATGAAGTTAAAACAAAAAACTAAATTTGACCTGAAGTGTTATCAAAGCATGTAAACCAGAATAATCATCTATGTTGTCGATTTTTTCACTTAAGGGGGGAGACTCCGTGGTCCGTGCGCTGTGTCCGTGCACTCACACAATCAACGGGAACCGTGTATGTATATGCGATGTGCAAGAGAGACAATCGATTTCGTAAATTCCACCTTCTGTCTGAACAATTGCACAAATGAACTTTTCACGGGTATAGAACTCACGGGTAGACTTCCCTACAGGGTGGTCTGGTCCCTATAAACACCAATAAACACATTTTAATTGAAAGAATTAGAATTTTAGAAAGTGTGCGATTGTGACAGACGCCGATGAAAACACACAAGATGGCTGCACAAGTCACATTTTATCAAATATCTCACGATTTAATGGTTTTCTCGTCAAACGCAGACCAGACCACCCTGTACACTACTATCACACTATCGTGGAAATTCGATTTGAGTCACTTTATCACTTCTGGAAGGCACAAGATGGTTCCTACGATTTGATGCGTCCAGACGCAGAAATAAACAGTGGTATAGTTCAAGGATTCTCCGATAGAGGCGTTTATGGTATTTGTCAGTCACTTTGGCCTGCGTTACCACGAGCATCGATAAAACAGAGGGAGTCGGTAAATGTAACCTCGCAACACGTGGTGGATCGTATCGATTGTTTTGTTACGCTGTTGCCATTCGACAATTCTGCCCGTCAGGAGAACGATGGAACAGCTACGGCCTACGGCTCGTGGCGAGGTTTCGATTCTCGCGGAACGTAGGAAAAGAACGACGCGAGGGAAAGAAATCCGAGAATTAAACAATACGTACTAATGTGTGCAAGGATGAACCTTCTTATTCGTACTTGCAATGATGCTTATTTTTTTAATTAATGAAATTACATACGAGATACTTGACATGATATTCTCGAGAAACAAATTGTAAAAATGGCACAATATATATTCCGGGTATTCCACATACGAAAAACATGGAATACTATACAAATCTCTTGTTGGAAATGATATTTATTTATTTTTTATTGACATAATTGACGCAGGTGTTATATACTTACACAAATATTTCATAAAAGAGACACAAAAGGAACACAATTAATCGCATACGCTCTGTCAATCTTTCATTCGTCGCCCAGCGGAGATAGATTTTGTACTAACAACTGATTGCTGTCGCATGCGTACTTAGCGTATCATCTTCGCTGCGTCTGCACCTGTTCCAGTACGTATTTTGTTTTAAAAATTGGACCAAACGACTTGAGTTTTTTTGAGAAGCTAGAAGGATTAACGTATTAGAT